ACATTATTTAAAATCAATAATTTCTAAATCTGGGTGTCTTATGGTCTTTAAAAGTAGAAATTCTTGCCTTGCTGCGATTTTTACTGTTTACCAGATTTGCCATGTTGCAGTTTTAGTTAGAAAACAGTGGTAGAAAAACTGAGACAGAGATAAATTTTGTCAGATTCATAAAATAGATGTTTGGTTGCTGGTTCTGAGACTGAACTCAGGGCTTGGGTGCTATCCCTGAGCTTTTTGCTCAAGGCTAGCACTCTACCACTTGAGCCACAGCGCCATTTCCAGCTTTTTCTGAGTATATTGGCGATCAGAATCTCACTGCCTTTCCTGTCTGGGCTGTCTTTGAAGCGTGATCCTCAGATTTCAACCTCATGAGTAGCTAAGATTTCACAGGTGTGAGCCACTGGTGTTCCGTATAACCATTGTGTTTGTAAGTATCCCACACCAAAATGAATTTGTGCTTTCAAGTCTCCAGTGATGGTTCAGTTTGAGCAGCGTGCTTCCAAACCAGAGTCTGAAAGCCCATTCATGCCCAGCTTGTGTGCTTCTTCCTGTGGAGCAGCTGCTCACATGCCTAGTCTGGGTCTTCCCAAGTATTCAGAAGGCCAGGTGATGTCATCACGCAGTGGGAGGTCAGAAACAAAAGCAGGGTATGAGGATTGCCTTAAGTTAGGCCATGGTTTGCAAAACATTACTCATTTCTAATGTTCTTGTTTTAAAAATTATAATTAGGCTAGTAGGAACATGCTGTGGCTTTATTACTGTTGTTAAATGAGTTCATAAATCTTTAAATTATGTTCTTATTTTTATTTTCCAGCATATTAAATATAAGATATAACCCACATGAAACACAATTTGTTTATTCAGTAACTTTTTTTTTTTTTTTTTTTTTTTTTTGCCATTCCTGAGGCTTGAATTCAGGGCCTGGGCACTGAACTTTTGCTCAAGGTTAGCACTCTACCTCTTTGTTGTTGATGGTGGTGGTGGTGATAGGGCTTGAACTCTAGGCCTGAGCACTGTCCCTGAGCTCTTCATTTCAAAGCAAGTGCTCTACCACTTGAGCCACAGCACCACTTCCTGCTTTTTCTCTTTCTATGGTGCTGAGGAATTGAACCCAGGGCTTCATGCATGCTAGATGAGCACTCTACCACTAAGCCACATTCCCAGCCCTCAGTAACTTAAGAATGTAAACATTCTAAGACTAAGAAGTTTGAAGCCACTTCTATAAAATGTATGTTGACTAAAGAAATACTTTGATGATACTTCACAACCAGTCATTACGTTTTTATTTAATTGTTTAATTTTTAAAAAAATTTTTTGGGGTGGGGGGCCAGCCCTGGGGCTTAAACACCAGGGCTGGGACACTGTCCCTGAGCTCTGAAAGCTAGCCATAGTTCCACCAATTTAGTTATTTCTTTAATAGCTTATATTAGATATACAGAGGGGGGAATTTCATTATTAAATTTCCACACATTCACAGTATTTTAGAATCTTAGAAGATGAGTAGTGGTTTAAAATAATACAATATACTGATGTAATTTAAAGAAAACATTGTTTTATATATGTATGCATATTTATGTAAATGTGTAAATATTATATATAAATGTGGGGTACAAAGCAATGTTATAATTTATGGAGATAATATCAAAATAATTAAACTCAAAGTAATAAATATCCACCAGATCAAATACTGGTCAGTTTTCTGGTGAGATATAAGTATTCAATTCATTGCCTTTAACTGTGTTCAACAGCTATGTAATAGATCTAAGAAAACCCCTCATTTCTTTCTGAAAGATATGTGTGTGCACACGCATATGCGTGTATATGTCTGTGTGTGTATTGGGTCTTGAACTCAGGACTTTGAGCTCCAACTCAGTCCCCTCCCCCCCTCCCCACCAATTGATAGCTCTTTACGACTTGAACTACACCTTTAGTCCAGCTTTTTTTTTTGCTGGTTAATTGGAGATAACCAAGTGAAGATAATGTAGTACAAATTTTCTGCTCAAGCTGGCTACAAACTGAGATCCTCAAATCTCAGCCTGCTGAATACGTGGCAGGATTATAGATGTGAGCCTCCAACGCTGGCTCCTCCTGGGATTTTGGATCCTGTGAGTATCTGCCCATTTTCTCTATTCTCTGGTCTCTGTGACTATTCTGATTCTTAATCTGATTCTGTGAGTTTGATTGTTTTAAGGTTTCTACATACGAGATTATATAGTATTTGTCTTTGTTTTTTTCTTTTTGCTAGTCCTAGGGCTTGAACTCAGGGCCTGGGCACTGTCTCTGAGCTGCTTTTGCTCAAGGCTAGCACTCTGCCACTTGAGCCGTAGCACCACTTCCAGCCTTTTCTGTTTCTGTGTTATTGAGGAATTGAACCCAGGGTTTCACATATACTCGGCAAGCACTCTACCACTAAGCCACCTTCCCAGCCCAGTTTTTGTCTTGTTATGTTAAGAGACATATTTAGTTTAGTGCTCTCTAGTTGCATCCACATTGTTGCAAATGACTAAATTCCTTTCCTTTTTAAGGTTAATTTGTATTTCAGTGTGCATATATGTGGCACATTTTCTTCATCTTTTCACCTGTTAATGACCCTTATTAGGCTGATGTCATAACTTGACTATTGGAATTTTACTGTAGCAAACATGGGAGTTCAGACATCTTAGTCTGAACTTACAGTGGGATTGCTGGGTTTGATATGTCATTTTATGTCAATCCCAGTTAACCCCAGTGTTTTATCTACTAACTTGGGTAAACGTGAACCCCTTGAAAGCTTATCTTTAGATTTAATTAGCCTATGCTGTGCCTGAATTATCTTTGATCTTTGCAGAATAATAATACTTCTGTCTGTCTCTCTACATACATATATATATATTATCATTTATTATTATAGCTGTTATTTATGGTGCTGGGATCAAACCCAGAGTGCTAAGCTTGGCTAAGCAAGTACTCTATCACTGAGTTACACTGCCAGCCCCCAAATACTAACTTTAACTCCATTGTGGGTCCTTACTTCTGTCACTCCAAGCCACTAAGACTGTGTCTCCAAGATGAGGGTGTTGTACTTGGGTAGTCACTGGCTGCTGGGAGAGGTAGATTTGGTGTAGGGTTAGATGCCACTTTAGAATGGTTGGAGCAACACACTCGGGGCAGGGGGGGGGGGGGAGTGGGGAGGGGAGGGAGGAACAACATATTTCCTAAGATAGTCCCTCTCTATCTGGATAGTGTCCTGTCAATTAAAATTTAATATGAGCATTTAGTATACAATAAACTTCTAGTATTTAACTTCACTTTTCCACTGCTGTTCTGTAGAAAGAACTTGAAATATATCTCTAGAAGTTGCTTTTTGAAGGCTGGGTGCTGGTGGCTCACACCTGTACCCTAGCTACGCAGGAAGCTGAGATCTGAGGATTATGGCTTAAAGCCAGCCTGGGCAAGGAAGTCTGTGAGACTTCATCTCCAATTAACCACCAGAAAACCAGAAGTAACACTGTGGCTCAAGTAGTAGAGCATTACCCTTGAGCAAAGAGCCCAGGGACAGCACTGAAACCTGGAGTTAAAGGCCCACCACTGACCCCCTCCCCCTTCCTCCCAAAAGTTTCTTTTTGAACTACGCATCACAGATAGATCAGCTATTTCTGTTCCCTAAATAGCCCTAAGTATTGTAAAAACCTGATTGTGTTGGCATATGAAGTAAGAACTTTGATCTGGTTTCACCTGTCTCTGAAACCAGATCTTGCATTATTTTAAAAGTTAAACATAAGCAATTAAGGACTTAAGGAAATTTCCCCCTCCCCCATTTTGGCAAAGTAAGTGTGTGTGTGTCTGTGTGTGTGTGTTGAACTCAGAACCTCGTGTTGATTTGGCCCTAATCAAATAAACGTAGTTGCTTCCTATTGACCTCTGGTCTGTTTACTCTTTGTTAGTTATCTTTGCAAGTGTTTTTTTTTTTAAATTTTATTGTAAAAATCCTGTAAGGGGGGGGAGGGTGGTTACAGTTACGTGCGTAAGGTAATGAGTACATTCCTGCCAAACGGTGTTACCCCCTCCTTTATTTTTCTCCTACCCTCCCTTCCCTCTCCGTTTGCAGGTTATTTGTGATTTGGGGTGTTTCGTTTCAGTTCTGACTTGTAGTAATTGCGTTAGTCCTCAGGCGGGTTGTCCGCTGCCCTGGCCTATAGAAGGCCTCTTCCTTCCTTTGCCCTCTGTGGATTTGGTCTTTTTACCAAGCCCAGGTGAAGGGGGTGGGGTCTGGCGTCATTCATTTCCTTAAATTTACGGGGAGTTTTCATTTCAAAAGAAACCCAAGCCAGGGATGTGGAAGAATTAACCTTAATTTAACCTGAACCCTCTCCTTCCACCTTTACAACTTCTGTGTTCTGGAAACTTCCTGCCAGCAGTTAGATAATGCACTCCTGTTGGGTGGTTTCTTCGCTAGCTCATGGGTCCCAGTGTATGCAGCGTTGCTTTTGTGTGAAAGTGAAATGGTGGCCATGTGCACTTCCTGGTGGGTGCTTTGCCCTCCTTCCGTTGTGGTTCAGCACCTTGGGTAGACCAGTCGTTTATCCCCACAGTGGCTTTTAAGCCATCCTTCAGTTATTCACTAGTAAATAACAAGGCAGGTTGCCTAGGAACCCCAGCAGCTGAGGCTTGGGTTCAGCGCTTTGTTCTCGCTCCCTGGGCAGGCATTCTACCACTTGAGCCATGCTTATAAAGAAGTGGATTCACTTGTGCCTTCATTTCCCACAGAGCTCATTTCCCCCTTGTGGTTATTGTACAGAACTAACTTAATTTTGAATCAGAGAAAAGAAAAAGCCTGTATGTGATTGTTTTACTACTATCTTCATCTGTACTTTTTTTGGGGGGAGGGAGGTCAGTTGTGGGCTTGAACTCAGGAACTCAGGGCCTGGGTGCTGTTCCTGAGCTCAAGGCTAGCACTCTATCACTTTGAGTCACTGCTCCACTTCTGGTTTTCTGGTGGTTAGAAAGAAGAATCTCAGAGATTTTCTGCTGGGGCTGCGTTTGAACTGCGATCCTCAGATGTCAGCCTCCTGAGTAGCTAGGATTACAGGCATGAGCCTCTGGTGCCTGACACAGAGTAAAACACTGAAAAGAAACCACAATTACTGGCTTCAATTAGTAGTTCTTCAATAGACTTCGTCTTTTGACTGTACTGGGGATTTAATTCAGGCAAGACAGGGGCTCTATCCATTTGAGTCATGACCCCAACTCCACACTCACTCAATTTATATAATAAAGCATCTCAATCTAGTGAGTTGGGAACCACACTAGGGGGCAGAGGGGATTTGAAAAGTTATTTGCCCAGAGTTACACAACATAGTAAATTGTGAAGTCAAGAGTCTAATGGCTGGGAAGTTGGCTCAGTGGTAGAGCGCTTACCTTGCATGCCTGAGGCCCTGGGTTCGATTTCTCAGCACCACATAAGCAAAAAAGAAAAAACCCGGAAGTGGCGCTGTGACTCAAGTGGTAGAGCGCAAGCTTTGAGCTGAAGAGCTGAGGGATAGTGCCCAGGCCCAGAGTTCAAGCCCCAGGACCGGACACACAACAAAAACAAAACAAAGAGTCTAATGACTACTCTTGAAAGTTCATGTTGGATCAGATTATCCTGTGTATTTCTGGCTTTAATTTTCTGTGATTTTTGGGGGGCAAAGTCTCTGATTTACAAGGAATAGGAATCCGATGAGGATTTCCTTTGGTTAATGTTTGAGCAATCCCCAGTGCTGAAGTGGCTTTTGGAGCCAGGGACAGTGGGGTCCCTCCTGTAGTAGTTGTTTTCCTGCAAGATGACCTTTCTGCAGAGATCCTAAAATCATCTTGTTCCATTTCATACTTCCCAGGATACTAGCGGGACTGAATTAGTGGCTTCAGGCAGAAATGTAGTATTATAGTTTGTAATTTCAGTTTAGAACCACACACTTGTCTTCCTTTTTAGATGCTGAATTTTCAAATTCCTTACATACCTGGAAACATTGTACCTGTGGCAGCTGCTGAAATTCTTTAAAACTTCTGGTTAGCCTGACTCTACCTTTGTCCTGTTGCAAAGATTTTTAGTCTTTTTGAAACACAATACTGCCACTCGCTGGTTGCCAGGTGGTACTACACTAAGAATGCCAAAAGTCCTTCAACTGCTGAGATAATGTATAACATGGAGTTGTAAGTCTAAATACAAACAAACCAGAGCAGTAATTTTAAAAATAATCTTATTAGAAGTGGCACTGTGGCTCAAGCGGTAGAACGCTCGCCTTGAGCTGAAGAACGCAGGGACAGTGCCCAAGCCCAGAGCTCAAGCCCCACGACCGACCAGAAAAAAAAAAAAAAGGAAATTAAATAAAAATAATCTTATTGTTATTTATTAAGGTGTTGAACAGAGGCTTACCATTTCATAAATAAGGTAATGAGTACAGTTCTTTTTGAGCAGTGTCACCCCTGCCTTCGTTTTCCCTAAGCTTCTCCCCCCACCCCATCCCTGCCCAGAAGTTGCATAGTTCATTTTCCACAGAGTGTCTACTGAATACCATACCAAAGTAGTCATTTTTAAATGTGTGGCCAGGAAGTATCCTTGGTTTAGAAGAAACGTAAAAATGCAGAGCCAAAGGTTTCCAAGAATCACTATCTTGCTTCAGAAACATAAGCAGGGTACATTGCCAGTTACTGTATCAGAAAATATTTCTGTTGCTCTCTGGGTTTTCAGGCATCTTGGATGTGTTGCAGAAACACACAGAGTGATGTTTCAGACATTGTTGCCAGGACTGCTGCTGGGTCCGAACGCTCACATGCTTGCCTTCAGTAACTCTTCAGTGCAAGCTTGAGAACCTCTGCTAGTAGCTGGGTGATCTGAGATCAGTGTCATCCCTTCCCTGCGTGAAACCCTTTTCCTGGGAGAAAATCCTTCTGTATTAGTCAGCAGAGTTCTTGAGATTCCTGTGAAGCACTGGGTGCTATCATCTACTAACAAAAGACGGATTATTTCTTTAAGCACTTGCTTGTTTCCAGATACTAGTTTATAAGTTCTTTCAGTAGGTTTCCAGATACTAGTTTTTAAGTTCTTTCAGTAGGTTTAACTAGTACCATCTTACAAGAAAAGGAGAGACTCAGAGAATCTGTGGAGACACATGCATAGGAAGTGGTGGCTTTGGGATTTGTGCTATGAAGGCTTTCTTACCTATTATAATTCCATGTTCTTTATCTCAGAGTGCTGGAGCAAGGTTTTATTCTTAACATTTGTTTTGCTTTCATTAAGAAACAAAACTGTAAGAACGGTGGTAGTCATCTCCTTTTTCCATCCAGACAGTACTGAACAGTTTTTATGATTAAAAAGTAAAGGCTGGGCGCTGGTGGCTCACGCCTGTAATCCTAGCTATTCAGGAGGCTGAGATCTGAGGATTGTGGTTCAAAACCAGCCCAGGTAGGAAAGTCCGTGAGACTCTTATCTCCAATAAACCACCAGAAAACCAGAAGTGGCGCTGTGGCTCAAGTGATAGAGTATTTGCCTTGAGCTGAAGAGCTGAGGGACAGCATCCAGGCCCAGAGTTCAAGCCTCATGACCAACCCCCCCCCCCCCCCCCCCCCCAAAAAAAAAAAGTGTAAAATGCAGGGTGCTAGTGGCTCATGCCTATAATCCTAGCTGCTTGGGAGGCTGAGATCTGAGGACTATGGTTTGAAGCCAGCCCAGGCAGGAAAGTCTGTGAATACTCTTGTCTCCAATTAAGGATCAAAAAGTCAGAAGTAGCTAAACTGGTAGAGTGCTAGCAAAAGAGCTCAGAGACCCTGCCCAGTCCCTGAGTTCAAGCCCTAGAACCAGCACAAATAAAAAAATAATCAAAAAAGAGCTCAAGGACCCTGCCTTGGCCCTGAGTTCAAGCCCTGGAACTGGATGAAGCTAAAGAGTTCATCATGTAGGATTGTCTGTTTTATTCAAGCCACTGGTGATGCCTGTCTCTGTAAGGCATGGGTATTTGCCATAGTGAATTGCACAGTAAGAATCTAGGTACTTATAACACATTTAAATCCCTGTTCATATTTATGAGAGGTGTGCTCTCCCCCCCCCCCTTCTTTTAATGGCTTAAGTATTTTAGCAGAGATGTTTTCAACCCTTCTCAACCTTTTAGTGTAGACTAAATTTATGACCTCTCACTAAAGCAAGACATATCTTCCATTTCCCTCCATTAATGAGGCCTGTTGACATATTTTAGGTTTTAGCTATATCCTTATGAACTTGAGGCACTTTTTGAACTTTAGCTCCCAGGGATTTCTGGCCAGTGGGCCTGGGAGAGAAGGTAGAGGCTGTCTAAAGTGCTGACCCAGCCTTCAGCTCTGGGGGGAGGATCTGTCCAGGTCTCTCCTGAGTTTACTGTTTTATGAACCCTGGGAAACTCAGTGTAGTCCCTGTTGAGCTCTCTCTCAGCCTGGCATGGAATAACCTTCAAATTAAATGGTAGCACTTGATCCCTGATTGCTCTCAATGAACTAAGAACAAAGTTAACGTTCAGAGAACCTCTTGTTAACCGTCCTCAGACATTTGCATGGTGCTGATCAGCCTCTGCATGATGTGCCAGTACTTCTATACAAGCGATTCTGTTTGCTTTCTCGAGACTCAAAGATAAATATTGTAAGAGCTGCTTTGTGGGCCATCGTTTCTTCATCCCCATCCATGTTGGATGTCATTTGTTTGACATACAGCAATAGCTACAGATCCACATTTGGGGAAGAATCTAAGAGCATCTGTGATAAACAACCCTTGGAGAGAGTTGACTTGGTGTCAGCTCTTCGTGACACAGAGGCTCATAGTGAGCCTCAGCTGTGTGTTCCAGTCATAAATACCAAGATGGCTGAGGATTAAGATGGAAAAAGATGCACTCATGTATGTGTGTTCAATAAAAACGTAGTATTGATCAAGCTACCAGGTTGGCAGAGAAGCAGTTTCAAGATTGGTCTCTTCTGTTTCCTGAAATGAGCAGGTTGGGAGGGGTAAGGTCAGAGGGTATTGTGACTGAGGTGTTTGAAAAAAATACAGTCCGACCCTACAATCCCTGTCCTGGTGATGGTGGTTTCTCCCCATCGGCTTGGCCATCTGTTTACAGGACCTTATAATCATAGGTATGCTATGCACTTGCAGGCGCCTGCAATCCTGTTCCTAATGCTGTTAGATTTTCCTTTTCAGAGTAAGAGGGACCATCTACTCATGAACGTCAAATGGTACTACCGTCAGTCTGAAGTTCCAGATTCAGTGTACCAGCATTTGGTTCAGGATCGACATAATGAAAACGGTAAGTAAATCTCTTTGATTTAATTCTTGTACATTTTAGCTTTGGGTGACAGTCTTTCTAAAGATATCCTTTAAGTGGCTATAACCACTCTGGTAAACTTCCTTGAGAAAGAGCTTTTCCTGGCTGCTTCTGCCCCAGCTCTTTGTTTTTAAACCTCTGAGCTCGTGCTAGGAGAACCCTCCCCTCAAACGAAGATAGCTCCTTGTCGGAAACGACAGTAATTTAATTTTTTAAAATATTTTTTTTCTGTTTTCATTCTATTTCCTTTATTTATTTTTTGTTTATATGATACTGAGGAATTGGGCCCAGGACCTCATGTGTACCAGCCAAGTGTTCCGGAAATGTGGCTTAGCATTCATTTCGTTCTTTACATATCTTGTTTCAAGTACTGATGAATAGCTGGTATCAAAAACCTTATGGAGACTAAGCACTTGATGGCTCATGCCTATAATCCTTAGCTACTCAGGAGGCTGAGATTTTTGGATCACACTTCAAAGCCAGCGGGGGCAGGAATGTGTGTCAGACTCTTATCTCCAATTAACTAGCAGGAAACGAATTGGCGCTGTGTCTCAAAGTGGCAGAGCACTAGCCTTGAGCAGAAGAACTCAGGGACAGTGCTCAGGTCCTGAGTTTGAGCCCCATGACCACCCAACCCCTCCCCCCACCCCCCCAAAAAAAGAAAAAGAAAAACCTTTATAAAATTGTATTTCTTTTCCTTTTTTGGGGGGGGGGGGGCCCGG